GGGGGGGGGGAGGGGAGAACAGGCATATGAGAGAGGAGAGAGCAAGAGGGTGACGGTTTGAGAAACAAAAAGTCCTGTGTCTAGAGCATGGGGTACCCTTGACGGGGGACTTCTGAGAGAGGAGATGGGCCTAGAAAGTGACAGATGATGAAAAAAGGATTACGTGCCATGCTAAGTAGTTGGAATTTTTCATCCGGTAGACACTGGGGAATAGGGACCTGGGGAAAGGGGGCCATGGGCTGCTTTACAAAGATAACTCCCATGGCAAAGTGGAAGAAGGTCTGCAAGTGGGGAAGAAAGAGGAAACGGGGAGACCGGTCAGGAGGTTTGTGCAATGGCCCAGGCAAGGGACAACCTGGAGTGCAGTGAAGACAGATGAGCCATGGAGAGGGAACCAGCATTTCAGGACAGATCATAAGCCAGAACTGTGCTGGGCACTTGAAGTTCTTGAATACAACCTGAACCACCACCCTTGAGAGCCAAGGGATGATGGAATCAGGCCTCAGAGGTCAGGTCACCTGCTTGGGGCAAACAGGCTACAGGGTTGCAGCCAGAAGCTGAGTCCTTTCATCCCACAGCCTGACACTGCCTCCACATCATGGATTTGAGAGCTCATCCAGAGATTAAAATCACAAAAATTACATGAGGAAGAATTCAGGGAAAGAGCCTCAAGTTTGAGTTAACGAACTGGTAGATGTTAATGCTGTTACATAATACAAGGGAAAGAAGTAGGTCTGGGCAGTCAGGGGGAAAAGCCCAGGAAACGTTGGAGGGTGAGGAGGGGGTGAGAGCCGGAGACACAAAGTGTAGCCACACACCAAGCACAGATCCCTGACACACAGGACAGGAGCTGCTGACACCCAGCTGAACCTGCCCCACTTAGATAAAACATGTCTCATGCATCCCCCCAACCAAAAAATTTTGTTGACTTCTATTTTGCACAACAGCAAGTGGTTGTTTTTTCTTTAAATATAGAAATTATATAATATTAATTTTTTTCAACCTGCCCATGGCTCCTTTATATCATCTATCCTGTGGAAAATACTAGCTTAGGGTATTGGGGCATACGCTTTTTGTTTTATGGGATGTTTTTAGAGGTGACCTCCTTGAAATAGAGTATACACAGCTCAACCCCCTAAAATGTCATATTCTAGCACCAAAAATAGAACTTAAGGTCAACAAACCAGACCAGGAGTCAGTGTGCTCAATTCTCGAGATGTGGTTAGTTAAGCAGTGCACTCAAAGGTGACAAACAATAATTTCCAATGATGAAGAAATAGCCATGGTGACTGTCTGACTGACTGAACAAGTGTCTCCAGGCCAGGTCAGGCCAAAGGGCAGGGCGTCACAGGTAGCCAAGCACAGCTTCTCTGTGACTAACTGAACTATAAACACACTCTGCCCAGCTAGACATGTCTCCTTCAGGAAGCAGCCTCCCTGCTCCCAATCTAAACCAGCACACCAATCCTGCCCCACACTCCACAAGGGGACATGCACGTTTTAAAAATACTTCAATGTCATAATATAAATTTGTATTTAAAAGACAAGAAAACTCACTGTAGGTATTTATTTTTGTGAGAAACCAGCTCAAGAAACTCAGGGTGGTGTGATAGATGAAACTATGTTATCAATCCAGGCATGAAGGAAAGGCTGAGAGGGACCTTCTGTTCCTCGATTATACATCACAAAAGCTCCACACCAGGGCCTTTGTACTTGCTGATGGCTACTGGGAACACTTTTTCCTCTGACAGTCACAGGCTCCCTCCTTTCCTTTCCCTTTGAGCAGGACTCCACTCCATCCAAAGCAGGCAGCCGCGCTGCCCTCTATCTTCCAGCCTGGTTTTACGTTCTCCATAGCACCCATATCTACCTGGCATTAGAGGACATAGCTGTCTGTTCATCATCTGTCTCCCTCCGCTAGAACATTTGCTCTATTTGCTCACTGCTGGGTCTCTGGTACCTACAATAGTGTGTAGCAACAGCAAGTGCTCAAATACTGGGGGATGAATGAGTAACCGCCCAGCCACGTACCGTACACAGTACAGAAAGTGCGTGTGGTAATCCGCATACACATAGAAGTCGTCCCCTATTTTGTGGTCCAGCACGGAGTGGCTGTTCTGGAAGTAATTTAACACACTCATAATGGTGCAGTTCTTGTTATATGGCGAGAGAGGGGCCAAACAGATGTCTTGAAGTGTCACGGTCTCATTGTTGTAAGACGCAGTAAGGTTTTCGATGGCTATTTGTAAGTCAAGAACCTAAAAGATACAAATCCAGAAACTGGCTCAGATTCTGACTCACCATTACTGCCCTGAGGGGCCAGAACATACAGAGTATTTGGGGAAAATCCTTCCTAAGACAGGGAGAGGAGTAAGGCACACTATGGTACGTATCTGATGACAAAAAGGCCTAGTCTTAGAGGACAACAAACTGGGATGGTGACCATATTTAGAGGCATCCAGAAAGATGGGGAGGTGACACCATTAGCAGGCCTGATCTCAGCGCAGAACGCGTGAACATCTCCCCTCGCACCCTTCTCCAGCTGTGACCAGCAGGGCCAGAGGGGAGGCTGGGGCAATTTTCCTTATCTTCCTGACATTCCCCGCACCAACAACATACCACCTGCTGCCTGGCTCCATACTATGATTATTTATGTATGTTCCCATATTTTCTAATAAAGAATACACTCCTGGAGGTAAATAACTGCTGTGCACCTTCTGTAACAAGTTGGCACTCACTGGAGGGAAAAGGTTCTATTCAAGTCTTGGAACCACTCTGATGTTTTTTAAGACATCCAACTTTCCAACATTTAAAGGAAAAACCATGCTATTGTGCAACCACTCATTAAAAAAGAAGTGGGATGCAGTTTATTCACAGATACTTTTCTCCAGGGCAAGTGTGATGGGGAGAACAGGATGGATCTTGTCCCAAATGCAGGCAATGATCCTTCACTTCTGCAGGTAGATCAGCAGTGACCCATAGCTCCTCCCTCAGTCCCCAGGACAGCACAAGAGGATTCAGTCCTTTGGGTTCTAGAATGTTACTTTTCAATTACCAAGGAAAAAACCTCACAGGTTCCTAAAGCTAATTATAAATACATTCTGCTCCAATACAGAAATGCTCATCTCTGTATTGGAGGTACCAGAGGCAGTAAATACAAAAGTGGCTTATGGCAGATTTTTCAAGTTCAACACCTGTCATTCTTTCTTGAAAATTCACTTTACTTTTACCATTAAGATTTTTAAAAATATACCACTACACTGAGCCCCAAACTCACACCCAGTAGAACTGGTGAACATGTAAAAGCCAGCCAACCACTGTGCTCCCTGGAATTGATTTCTGCAAAGAGCAGATTACCTGGTGCAAAATCTCTATGTCAAGAGGAGGTCCAAAGGGCACGTCAGATCCTGAGGGGTACGGCTCGTAAGTGCTTGTGTTGGTGTAGGGGGCCTGGATGATGAGCTGCTCCGTGCGGAAGAAAGGCCCAAAGTGGGTATCAAAGTACTCTTTCTCCAGGCGCGCCTGGCTGCTGGGGGCTGACCAGAGGTCGACTGGATTGGTTGTGACTTGGACAAACACCAGGCCTGAAGAACACGCAGCAATGAAGGCCAGGGAGAAGAAAATGACACAGCCGGGGTTTCGGACACAGAAGGAGCCCCACTGTGTGAAGAGCTGCCTCAAACAGCCCTCGAATGCTGCACCAAGCTGGTCGCAGCAGGATGCCTCCCCTGGAAGAGCAGGAGAGGAAGAGAAGGTGAAGGTTAAGAGCCGAGCCATTCCTGAAAGTTGGAACAGGGAAAGCATTAGCTACTTCACCTGGGGGAATCCTGTCTGCACTGGGAATGTGACTCCCCTCTACCCCACCCCCTGACCCCCAGCCCTCAGCTACCTATCTGCTCTAGAAGCCACCCCTCCTGTCTGCCCACAATGACTGCCAACCTCCACCCCACAGGACTGATGCTCACATATAAGCCCCTGAAAGGCAAAGCTCTCTGGGTGCTCTGTCCAAAGCAGTTCCCTTCAACCTCTCCTGCTACTCCTGCTCTCAGGCTGCTAGGTTAGAGCCTCCACAGTCTATCCCAGTCCATCATTATCTATTGCTGTTGTTAATTACTTGGTTCCGACCTGCCACCCAATTCGGTTGTCAGTGCACAAGGGCAAGGACCCGTCTGTCTTGATCAGAACTGTGTCCTCAGCACTAGCACGGTGTCTCTCCCAGAATAGGTATGTAAACATTTGTTGAGGAAATGAACACCCACGCCAACATAATCCTAACCCTTCTATTTGAGTACAAAAGTGCCTACCTTTGTCACTGGCATTTATAGGGAAAGCTATATTGCTGCTATCAATGGGGGTGTACTCGGAGACAAAATACCATTTTCTGAAAAATAAAAGCATTTAAGTAATATCAGTGGGTTTCAACATAACAAGGCTATTCTTCTGACATCCCCATGACACCTTTAAAAGCTTCCTTCCTCATCCCATTTTCTTCTTCCCTGTCACCTTCTTTCCTCTAACTTCACAAAGTGTTTGCATAGTCTCAACGTATCTCCCCTAAGATATTCATCAACTACAAAGAGAAATAGTAACTTTACAGTCAAGAAACCTTGAAGACACCATCTTAACCAAGCGATTAAGGTTAACATGACCAGCAATGAGACATGCAGACATCATGTGCCCCCTGGTAGGATCTACTGAGAAAGATGCAACATCACTTCTGTGCTATTCCTGCTCAAAAACTCATAACCTCAACCTAATCATGAGGATATATCAGATAAAGCTGAATCAAGGGGCATTCTTCAAAATAACTGACCAGTACTCATCAAAAGGGTCAAGGCCATAAAAGAAATGGAAAGACTGAGGAACTACCTGTCATAGATTAGAGGAGACTAATAAAAACACAAAAAGTGAATGCAGTATGGGGTCCTGATAAAGAAAAGGGCATTAGAGGGGAAACTGGTGAAATTTTAATACTATCTGTAGTTTAGCTAACAATATTATACACTATCATTTTCATGGTCTTGATAATTACATACTATGGGTTATATAAGTTGTAACATTGGGGGAAGCTGGATAAGGAGATATATATACATACATATATGTGTATATATATATACACTCTACTATTTTTATGCCTTTTTACTAAGTCTGAAATTATTTTAAAATAAAATAAACTGTCCTAAATCAAGATGCAAATATCTAAAGGGACTATAGTATTGTGTTTAAATAGATTTGAATCATATTTGTCTCCTAAGACTTTCTGTCCAACAATGGGTGGTTACTGCACAGTGCTTTAATTCACACATCATTTTGGATAAATCAATGAAACCAGCTTCAAGGGTTTCAATGTCTGAACAGGCCTTGATTGTTTAGTTGCAGGACATAAACAACTCATGGAATGGTTTTAATGCAGATAACTGCATCCTGTTCTAATTAACCAAGGTCTGCCAAGTGAAAGCTGGAAGTGCAACGTGGGTAATTTTGCTTTTCTTACTCTGAAGGACAAAGAAAAGCGCTTACCTATAGCACCACATGGCAAAAAATGCTCCAAAAAACAGGAGCAAAAAGGCCATGTAGGTGGTCCACATGATGACATACATGGCGTCCAAGCCAAAGATTCTCCAGGGAATAGGAGGGGGTGGCGGCTGGGGCTTGGGGCCACAAACGGCGGAGCAGTCTTGGCAGCTGCAGGGCCCAGTGACCTCATCCACAGACTCGGCACAGTCCTTCGTGGCATTGTTCATGGGCTCCATCCCATGGGCTGGGAGATCTGCAGCGAGGATTGTGTTGATGAATATCTCAATTAAAAAACACTACAAAGTCTGTATTAAATTACATTTAAATCCAATGGTAAGCACACTGAAATATTTAACGTGCCTGGAATGTGAAGGACTGGAGATTTCTGCTTGATCAAATTATGTTTTGCTGCTTAGTCCTATAAAATATTAAGTTGCCTCAATAACTCTGAGCATAGATTTTTGTCACTGAGATGCAAGTATACCCTTTTCCAAGGTAAAGCTTCACTCGTGTCTCATTTCCATTGAGGAGCTAGTCTAATACTACTGCAGAGCTCCTGAAAAGGCTTTTGTAATGATTTTTGGCTTTTCATTTTTTAAATAAAAAACCAGATCGCTCTTTCAATTATGTAGCTATACCCAAAGGCAGTTCTTCTCCTTCCTCCATTCCCATTCCCAGACCCTAAATTAATCAGGGGCAGGATAAATGCTCTAGTTACCACTCTCATTGGAGGGACATTCCAGGAGCTAGCTACCTGTTGCAGTTTAAGGTTCCTGGCTTTAAAGAAGCATCATAAATACACCCACCTGGGGAGTCTTTCAGCCTACCTGAAAAAATGGGTATGATGGTGAATGGTGCCTGGCCGTTGTCCTTGTTGAACATGTACTCGATCCAGTTGGTGGCATTGCAGGCTTCGGCCTCCTTCCCACACAGGAGCCCCAGGGCTTTGTCATTACTGGAGGGGGCCTCCACATCCCTGCAGGCATTGTACATCGCTAGCAGAGGAAGAAGGGGTAAGGCTGAAACACCACGCTGCTTTAATTCACTGGGCGAGAGTGCACAAAACCTTCTCATACGTGAACCGCAATCAGAAGTTAGGGACGGGACCGGCCACGGTAAGCACCAAGGATGGAAATGGAGATGGTCCCTGAAACCAGTTTATCGCACTTATGAGGCCAGATTCCAAACAACAAACAAAAAATAGACAGGAAAAGCCACATCATCTATCTAGCTCACAGTATCTTGGAGAAGTATTATCCCTAAGGTACGGAAGAGCAGAGTAAGGCTGAGGAGAAGCTAAGAACCTCAGTGCCTCTTCAGTCAATAAAGCTGGTTCCAGGAAACTCCTGCAGCAGGAAACTATACGGCTAGAGAATTAAGGGAACTTACAGACGGAATTGGTTTTAGGGCAGAACTCATGGGGGAATGAACACACTTCTGCTGGTTTTGGTTTTATTTTAGTACACATAAAGACAGCACACTAAATAAGGGCAACGTCCATGCACTTTGTACATAAGGAAGTAGAAATAACGCGTCCTATATTATTATTGGGTCCCCTGCTTGTGAGAAACTTCCCAGGATCTTCTCCTACACTTTAAGGAGATACCTATAAAGTCATTGCGTTTTACCCTCACTTTTGAAACAGTTTAGCTAGAGTGATAGTTATTTTCTTTAGAACCGTGATTATTCCAATGCCTTCTGGCCTCTATCATTGCTGGTAAAAAAAATTAAAAATCTCCAATTGTTATTCTTTTGAAGTAATTAGTACTTTTTGTACTTGCTTTTTTTTTTTTTTAATCCTCACCTGCGAATATTTTTCCATTGATTTTTAGAGAGTGGAAGGGAGGGAGGAGGGGGAGAGGAAGAGAGCGAGAGCAAGAGAGAGAGGGAGAGAGGGAGAGAGAGAGAAACACGCACGTGAGAGACAACATCAACTGGTTGCCTCCCACACGCTCCCTGACCAGGGTCGGGGACTGAGCCTTCGAATGGCAACCTAGGTATGTGCCCTTGACTGAAAATCGAACCTGAGACCCTTCGGTCCTTGGGCTGATGCTCATCTATTCTGGAAAATCCTCAGGCATTATCCTTTTGCTTAGTATCTGTCCTCAACTCTCTCTCTTGTCTTTTTCTGGAGCTCCTCACTATATCCCACATGTCACCTCTTTAATGACCTTTATAATTCTATGCTGTTTTCTGGGTAATTTCATCACATCTTCCAGCTTACCATTTTGTTCTCAGGTTTTTATTTTATTAAATATTTCAAGCATACAAAAAATATGGAGAATACAATTCCCATTTACTCACCATCCCACTACATCAATCTTACTATTTTACAACATTTACCTCAACATTAAAAAAACCCCCATAGACTACAGATACAATTGAAGCCCCCTAATACTCCTCCCTATGACCATCCTCCCTTCCTTAGGGTGACCACAATCCTGAATTTGATGTTTATCTTTCCCATGCATGTTTGCGAACTTTTAAGATATATTATATCCATAAATATGTAGTACTGTTTAATATAAACAACATACTACATATATATTCTATAACTTATTTTCAGTAAATATTTTTTTTAATGTTTTTTATTGACATTTTACACTCTAGAGAGAAATGGAGAGGGGGAGACAGAAATACTTATGAGAGGGAAACATCTATTGGTGGCCTCCTGCACGCCCCCTATTGGGGGACAAGCCCACAACCCAGGCATGTGCCCTGACCAAGAATCTAACTGGTTGAGCTCTTGGTGTATGGGGCGATGCTCAACCAACTGAGCCACACTTGCCAGGCTTCAGTCAATATTTTTAAAGTCATTCATGTGCCTGCCATAACTCTCATTGATTTGAACAGTTTTAAATATTTCATTATAAACTACAACCATTCTCCAATATATTATTCATTTTCTTAATTAGCATTAGTGTCTCTGATTTTTGTTTTCTTTTTCTAAAAAATGGACTTTATTACTTAGAGCAGTTGTAGGTTCACAGTAAAATCAAGCAGAGAGTACAGAATTCCCATATAATCTCTGCCTCCACACAAGCACAACCTCCTTACTATCAATAGCACCAAAGTAGAACATTTGGTACAACTGATGAATCTACACACTGACACATCATTATCACCCAAAGTCCAGAGTTTAAACCAGGGTTCACTCTAGGTGTTGTAAATTCTATGAGTTTTGGCAAAGGTGTAATTACACATATCCACCATTATAGTATCAAAGTTTCAGTGCCTTAAGGATCCCCTACGCCCTTCCTATTCATCTCTCTCTCCCCCAACCTCTGGCAACCACTGAGCTTTTTATAGTCTCCATAGTTTGACTTTTCCAGTGTCATTACAATTGGAATCATACAGTATGTAGCCTTTTCAGATTGGCTTCTTTCACTTAGCAATATGAATCTAAGATTCTCCCATGTCTTCATAGATTGATAGCTCTTCTTTTTTAGTGATAACATTCCATTGTCTGGGTATGCCACAGTTTAAAACATTTATCTACTGAAGAATATCTTGGTTGCTTCCATGTTTTGGTAGTTATGGATATAGCTTCTTTAAACACCCATGTGCAGGTTTTTGTGTGGATATACGTTTTCGACTCTTCTGAGTAAATACCAAGAAAAATGCTGGTTTGTATGTAAGGGTATTTTTAGTTTTCTAAGAAATTACCCAACTGTTTTCCAATGTGGCTGTGCTATTCTGCATTCCCACCAGTGATGCAGAAGAGGCTCCCGTGGCTCATGCTCACCAGCATTTGGCATCATCAGTGTTGTAGATTTGGGCCATTAAATAAGTGTGTAGTCACACCTTATTGTGATTTTAATTTGGAATTCCCTAATGGCATATGATGTTGAACCTTTCACATGCTCATTTGCTACCCATATATCTTCTTTGGTAAGGTGTCTGTTCAGGTCTTTCATCCATTTTTCAATCGTGTTGTTCTCTTTCTTACTGTTGAGTTTTAAGTTCTTCACATATTTTGGGTAATAGTCCTTATGAAATACATCTTTTGCAAATATTTTTTCCCAATCTGGGCTTGTCTTCTCATTCTCTTAATGTCTTCAATTTTTCATGATCACAGAAATGCTACAACAAACGTTCTTATATGGCTCTCCCTGTTTAAATGCTCTAAGAGTTGCCCTAAGGCAGCCATCTATAAGTAGAATTTTGGAATGAGGGTACATTTATCTTCAACTTTGCCAGGAATTGCAAAACTGTTTTTCAAATGGTTTTCAAACACTTGCACCAAGTTAATGGCATTCCTATTGCTCTACATCCTCACCAATATTTGGAATTGACTAATTTTATAATTTGTGACAATCTTATGTATCAAATAGTAGCTTACTGTTTTAATCTACATTTCACTGATTGCTCTAGATATGAATCATTTATAAATCTTTTCTCTTATGGTAGTATCGTAGCAATTCATAAAGTTACACAATTCAGTAGAACCAGTTCCACTGGTTTCTAAAATGTATAGACATAGACTTGCATGTACTAAAAATTCCCATGTGGGAGCTTATAGCTAGGAAGGAGTTAAAGCAAGTCTCCTCTTTAAGGAGACTGTTTTATAGGTTGTAGTTCAAGTCGTAGGATAGAAGCAAAACAACAACTTGCATTTCATGGCCAATGGAACTAAAAATTGTCACTTTCACAGAGTTGACAGGACAACAAAAAGGAACAACTTGATCCACTGCCCTGATAGCAACTGTAAAAGAGAAATAATTAAAAGTTTACTCACCATTGGCAAAACTCTCTCCAACATAATACTGTAATTCTTTTACGTTTGTTTTCGTCAGGTTTGTAACAGGATCAACATAATCTTCAGTTTCTGTAACATTCAGAAACTGACTTTGTCGAGGGCTACATGTCAGCTCACAAAATAGGTTCATTAGGTTATAAAAACAGGATGGACATCTAAAGAAAAAGTAACCATATTTTGTATGATGTCACAGATAAGACCAACAAAACAATGATTTAAAATAGACAAAGCATATTTAAAATTTTTTGTAAAATGACAAATGAATTACCATGAGGACACATTAAACCCAGCAATTCTAAACCTACAGCCTCAAAATAAAGACACCTCTCTAAAAATTCCCTAATGACTACATTTATGTTGTCCAGATGTAATTTCAAAAAGAGCAAAATGCTTCTTTGTATTCTGCACTTTATAATTTATTAATTTATTTTGTTTTTAAGAGAGTGGAAGGGAGGAAGGAGGAAGAAAGAAACACTGATGTGAGAGAGGGACATCAATTGCTTGCCTCCCACATGAGCCCCGACTGAAGCTGGGATCTAACCTGCAACTGAGGTACGTGCCCTTGACCAGGAATCGAACCCACCACCCTTCGGTGGGCAGGCCAATGCTCTAACCACTGAGAAACACTGGCCAGGGCTGCACTTTATAATTTAGAGAAATGTTTTCTTTGACTTGAAGCTAAAGGAACTTAGAAGCATTACGGTGACAACTCTGATTATGAAAAGAAGTGGGGGGGATGACAGTTACACAATAGAACGCTCATCTTATAACCTACTAAGGCCTCTCTTCCAAGCCTCAGATAATCCCTGGGGCCCTTTCTAAACACAAGAGGATTTCCTGTGACTCGAAGAGATAAAAAGAACAGCAGTGGTGGTCTCTGGCAGCATGCATTTCAGCAGCACTTGGGTTTTCAGGAGAACCATAAGCTGTCTGCTGTCCTTCAGGTTCAAAGTTTAAGCTCGGAATGTTGACTAGTTATGAAGCAAAAGAACTTTCTCCTCTTTCATTCACAACTATCTGCAAAAACTATTGCTTCATTAGACCTGTGTTTTTGCAACACAGCCGATCAAGACTGCTCTGATCCCATCCAGGTGACCACTTGGAACATAGAACGAGGAAGGTGTGGTTCCAATCTTCAAAGCCTCTGGTATAGTAAAGGAGCAGACACACACACACTAACTCTCTTTCAGGAATCTGGTGCTTTCCTGTGACAATAACAGGAATGACAATGACACCATTTACAACAAAAATCACTCTTGGAGTGCACAGTTTTCTATCACTATCCATGAGTTACAAACCTCCTTCCATGTTACTACATTTAATCTTCACAATCATCAATTTGACAGCTGCATGATATTCCATATATTAGCTTCTCATTATTTGCTACAGTGGATAAAGCTTTGGTACCTCTGACAACATGGAGAAAACTTGGTTATGCCTCACCTAGAGCAGGTGCTAAAGAAATGTATTTTGACTGAATGATGGCTCCAATCTGGCTCCATCAACATCCACTAGCCTTCTACAGGATATGCTGGCCCAATTAGATTCTTAACTTTTGATCTATTATTATATTGCATGTCATCCTGAAAGGACAATTTAGGGATTGTTTCCCACACTATACTGGCAATTTAAACTTCTAGGAAGAAGCAGAGATTCCTCAGTGGACACCAACTTGGGCCCTGTCACCTGCAGTGATACCTGTAGTAATATCTGCACAGAAAAGCATTTCCCCCTTGTCATAGGTCCTTTTCATCTGCCCTTATCAGGGGGCTTAAATGTGAAAAATTTAGAAAGGAATCACAATGTGCTGTTCTAAAGACCACCATCAGCCTGTCCTTTTGCACATTTGAGAATTGCCGCGTAAGTTTAGATAAGAACATCTGTTACATAACCCTTTCACTGCCCTGGTCATAGAGAACAGATTGGACAGCAAACTAATTTTGACAAAACCAGCCAACTCTGCCAGAACAATCTTGTTAACAGTTACCAAAGGCCAGCTCTACTAAGGGGTGGGACTCTAGCACATCACGTTGCCACAGGAAGAGAGAACCATGTGCAAACCAGGGGAGGTGGAGAGAGGGAGGCGACGCAGAGGATTCCACAGATGAGGGTCTTGAGTCAGAGACCTGAGAACCACCCTTGGCGTAAAGAGGCTCAAGTGTGAAAGGACCTAGTCCACAGTGCAGAGTCCTTTGAGGTGAAGACATCTCAGAGGAAAACAAAGTATCAACTCTGAATGTAACTAGGAAGAAAAATAAATCTGATAATGATTACTTTATCAGTAAGTATTCATTATTTCTGAGAAGTCATAAGATTGCTTTCTTAAAATAAAACAAACATTTTAAAGGAAATCAGAATGTTACTGGTTAGTAAGTATACTAAGGCCTCACTCAATGTCATCTTTAGGCTCTATGACTTTAACTGAAACCACATACAATGAAACCAATTTTACCATAGAATAACTGATATAAACCAGCTAAGTTCCTACAGCATCTCAGCAATGTTATAACAAAACGACGTTGAATGAAATGATGTTATTCACGGACATGCTATACCTAAAACCCATTTTTTCTGTTTGCCTGGCAGTCAGCCTACCTGGACAGAAACTGCAGAGGCAGCTGCAGGTTGTCTTTCAGTGTCTGAAGCTGCTGAACATCACAGCAAAGGCTGACGTTGTCGAAGAAGAATCCTGGACAGAGTTCCTTTTGGGTGAAAAAGCATGAATATCACAGTAGCATAGTTAATAAGGACAAACATTACTCAATGAAATAGACTATTTTATTCACATAATCCTTTTTAGTACACAAGGATAAGACACCTATTTGCAAAATTATTGCAGAATTCTTTTAAAAGGCTATCAATTTACTATTTCTAAACTAGGGATTCACAAAAGTAGAGACATATTTATTTTTTTTCTTATTTGGAAGTTCACTCTCCTCCCTTGACCCAATCATTTTACCTTTTTTGTGTTTCTGCTTAAGTTCAACCAGAACACTATCTACTGCACATTTCCATTAGTCACTTCAGGGAAAGTCAACACCTTTACTAATTCTAATGAAAGGAGCAATGACATTTTGGAGGAGACCTGCTACTCTGTCAACTTGATTTTAGATTACTTAAGCCTCTAAACTAGTCTTTTCACCTTGATTTTCCCAATTCTTTTCTAATATCCCTGTGTATCAGGGATGGTAAAAGAGACAACAGGAAACAGAATACTGGTAGCAGCCAAAGTTCACAAGCTCTTGGGGGAAAACAAAGGAATTACTGAAATGAACAGAGGACACAGGAGTCACAGCCACTTGGCAACCTACTCCATTCAAGTCCTGAAATGTAGGAACCAAAAAAGGCTGACTTCTAATATATTTTGAAGAAGCTGCAAAAAGCATATCTGAGGTACCAAGGTCAGTCCCTAAATAGTAACCTGCTAATGAGAAACTTCATGAGAAGGGCATAAAGGCAGCCCCAGGAAATTAAACCTCTGGAGTTGTATTGTCTTCTCTGTCATCATGTGCTACATATAAGTTTGGGATCAGACTTAAGCCTATTAGTGTATCACCTCAACCCCCATCCCACAATAATATTTAAGATATAATTACAGAGGATCTCTGATTAGCATTTTATGTTCCCATTGTCCAAGATAATGGACTTACCTGCACTAAGTCATATCCGTCCTTTGGCAGTGCTCTTGGTAACCCAGAATATCTGCAATTATACCTCTTATCTCCAGATGCAATTCCGCACTCGCCATACCAAACACAGGACTGTGAAAACACCTGCAGAAAGTCAACACAAAACTCAGTTCACAAGGGCCTGAAGAGTAAAACAAATTTCCACAGCATAAATCACCCACTCAAGCACCATTACAGAACCTTCCAATACTACCTGCAAAATGAGGTAAGAGCAAGAAGCAATGGTTAGTTTAACATTTTGAAAAATATTAATTAAAGTAGACCAAATGCCTCCTTCCCCCAAAAAACTTGTCAAGTAAGTCAGTGAAGTAGGTAACAGAAACTACTTATTTCCATGACTTCTACTTCCTGCCGGTTTACTGGTACATAAGAGAAAAACAGTTCCATATAAGAGTCACTAAGAATCCGCACTGAGGAGAGACAGCAAGACAGCAAGTGAGTTTGCGATTACTAAGGCACTGCTTTTGCACACCTGAACAAGGAACTACGAGCTCTAAATAATGAAAGAACATTTACATAGGTGTTCAGGTTAATTAATAGCACATCACGACTAACATAAAGAACAAAACCATAAACATCAATAAACCCTAAGCAAGAGCAGCAACAAAAATGAACACCTTGTCCTTAAGATAGACAGTTAAGAATGTGCTAATTTTAAGGAAAATCACCTCATCAATTTTAAAAGAAAAATTTAAAACCTCTTATATAAAGATTTCTCAAGAGCCACTCATATCCCTCATGTGAGAGTCACCGGGCTGTGAGAAAATTCAGAGGGGGAGGAGGGTGCAGTGTGATTCATCGTGTCAGCTGCCACCAAGCTCTGCCAAGCTGGCCAGGGCCACAGGCTTGCACAATCTTACAGTCACCTGTCCCCTAGGCAAACAGAGTATCTAGAAGTAATCAGGCTCCCAAGACACCTGATGGGAAAGCCATCTAAAAAAAATCTGAATAGAGGCAACAGAGTGAACTCTCCCCTGTGCCAGTGGCACATGATCCACACATAGTAAGGAGCTCAGCCAGTCACTGTTGGTCCCCAGTGTTGGAATACAAATCCCACAACAGGCCCTGAAACCCTAAAAACATGAAAGAAAAAACAAGGAGGCTGGGGTATATACATGGGGGGAATCTAAGGGATCAATATGATTTGTCTCTGAATTCATTCTTCAGATATTTAAAAACAGAAATTACAACTTACCCCATCTCGGTTCATTAAAAGTCATATGTTTAGGCCACAAAGGAGGAAAGTTATACAAATGAGGAAGTGACAAGTATTGAACAACACCACATACCAAACCTTTGGCAAGATGTTGTAAAATTCCATCACCATTTTTATGCAAAAAGAATCACAATTATTTCCAATTCTAGAGAAAGTATTGTTCTTTCCAAGACTCTGGGTTTCCAACTAAAAGGTCATTATCCATCTACTGAAGTTTGAAAGGCAAAAAAGCTAACCAAAGAGACAGGGATGCTGATATTGACATGTAATTTAAATAGAAGAAGCCTCTCCCGAGACCTCACAGACATCTCAACAGACCATCAGGGAAAGGAAGACTGGGCTTAGGGTGTGGGGGTGGGCAGCACTCTGGCATATCACCCACTGGAGTGGCAGAAATCCAGTCAACAAATGACTGTCATGACTCTGGAATGACTAGCAGGATGGGCGTCTGGAGTCTAAGTTCCCCTTTCTCAACACTATAAGAGAAAATAAAGATGACCCAATGCACTTTGGTTCCTAGTCACAAAGATCATCCTTTATAATCTACATCATTTATTTCAAAGCAAAGTTTTCACCCATCTGGTAGGAGAGAAGGGGGAGGGGAGGGTTCTCAATAAATGTGCTTGTTAAAGCCAATTGCAGCTGGAGAAGGTGCCTGAACCTTCCTGAGCAGTTTTCCTGCCTGTGAACTGTAACTCATAACCACCACTTATCTCACAGGCTTGGTGTGAAGATTCAACAAGGGAATATACATGGAAGTACTTGGTAAACTTTAAAGCACTATACAAACATAAGGAACTATTAACGTCTTCCAACTGTTTGGGACCTTAGCAAAGAAGTTCCAGGGACCTGAAGAAAATAAAATACCAGAGATGGCTCAATGGTCTTAGGTTTGCTTCCCCAGCCATCCTGCCTAAAGCAGCAACCCTAAGCCAGTGGGGGCCAAAGTACTTGCAAGCCACTTACTGTGTGCTAGGCATGGTTTGAACTGCTCTTCATATATTAACCTAATGAATCCTCACAATGAGCTGATGAGAGAGGTGCTATTATTATACCCATTTTACAGATGAAGAGATAAGACACAGTGAAGCTAAGTAATTTGCCCAAAAGTGGCAGAACCAGGATTCAAACCAGGACACTCTAGTTTCAGGAAACAGTCTTAGTAAAATATAATCTACTGCAGAATTGAGGTCTTCACTCTAACATTACACCCTCTCTCATTCCCCACCTTGTGCAAAGCATATACACGTGTGCACACACTCATACAGCTGCCCTGGCCAGGGAGCGGACTCTTCCATCTCAAATCTCTCTCTATACTTTCACTGCCCTCTTTTCACCTCCAGCTAAAAATGAGAGGCTGCCTCTATGACCCCCAGGCCCAGCTGGTGGTGTCCTGAGCTTCCTCCACGACCCTCCACCACATGACCTGCTTCTCTCCCACATTTTCAACCTCATCTCTGTTGGTCCTTTCACCTGCTCCTGCCTATAAGTGCTGCTCCAATTTCATTCTCCCTTTCAGTCAAACCACCCCTAACTTCTCTCCCTCTTCTAACTACCTGTCCGACAACCCCAGGTGCTCAAAAGGAAACTAATCTTTCTCCTGAAGCCTCCACCAGTGCCAGCCCTGTTCTTCAGGGCTTAAAGCCTGGGCACCTTCCCCGCCAATCTCCCAAGGAGGCTTCCTGGTGCAGTTTCCTGCACCTCTTCCTCCCCAAACTCCTTCCCTACTGAGTCCACACCCATTCCTTGCCCATCTTGGCACCTTCCATCCAGGCCTCGGCAGTGTCTCCCAGGTACAGCTGCCACTTGGCTCTTCCTGAGCCACAGCAGCAAGGTTTCCTGATGCTAAGAAACCCACAATCCACCCTTCTCACGGCCTGCGAGACAAGCTCCAGGAGCCTCACCTGGCTCTGTTGCACCCTCATCTCCCACCTGTCCTTTCCCGTCCCACCCGAAATGTGACTTGACTGTCTCTGCACAGTTCACATCGGTCCGGCCTCCCTCCCCTACACTCTGTCCAGCCCTTGCTACCTGTCAAGGCCACTCTACAACCTTCACCTCCCCATGTGCTTTCCTGACCCACCCAGGCACAGTCCAGCATCCAGATACTTGCGAAGTATGCCTTTATTAGTTCCCTTAATCCTCAGATCTGTGAAGCTGGTACTAAAATAACACCATTTTACAGAAGAGGCTGAGAATTACACAGGTAAAATGACTCATCTGAGGCCACACCTAAGAAATGGCAGAGCCAGGCTCTACCCAAACCCTGGCTGATTCAAGCTGGAGCTCTTACTCCTCGCACCACACTGAGGGTGGCTGGGCCATCCTCATTTCCGTAGACCACCAGCTGGCATCTGAACAACTCAGTTTCCGGTCTCCAAATCACCACAGCACAGCAGGCAGTCAAGACTTTACAACAAAGAGGAGGGGTGCACCTTAAGATCCCTGGGCTGTCAGGGCAGCACATGCTGACAAGACCAAGGGTACGCTGTGCAATCAAGGGCTTCCGCACAGGCCACTCACTTCCTTTCTAAGCAAAGCACCTGATAACAAAAGTAAGGCGTCTGAAAGCTGTCTTTACTATGATACAGGAACACCTGGTGAAGATTTCATATCAATAAATAATATTTACTCAACGTTTGAGGTCTGCCAGAGCCAAAACAGCATGTGATCAAATGTGAGCTCAGTTCTGGAGGTGATGGTTGTACCAAAATGTGACGTATATAATGTCACTGAATTGCACACTTAAAAATGGTTAATTTTACGTTACATGTATTTTACCACAAAGTAAAACATGAGCTCAGATGTCCTTCACCATGTAAGAGAAAAGCCTGGTGGCATGAACAGCAGAGATGGTTCTGTTATCATTCTGATGTTAGAAGAGTGACAGTTCACACAGGATCAAAGACTATGGGTCTGAGTATCACTCGACATACCCAGGTCTCTAATAATAGGTCTTGGTAAAGCTCCTCTTCGGGGTCCAAGTCTAAAGAATGATAATAATTCTTCACAGTTCATCTCGTGGTCACTGACCCATCTTATAGAGCTATTCATAATCATAAGAACTATCTTATTTAAGTATTTGAAAATGTTGCCAATTCCAAAAATGTTAAAAGTAAATGAGTGGTTCATTTTAATTACAGAATCAATACCCATTTAGCATAAATACAAGCACATCTCATTTTATTATGTGTCGCTTTATTGCGCTTCCCAGATGTTGCGTGTTTTACAAATTGAAGGCAAGACCCTCCACCAGCAAAAAGACTGTGACTCACTTTATTGTGGTGGTCTGAAACTGAACCCGAAATATCTCCAAGGTATGCCTGTATTCCAACAGCACAGGGTGTACACGAAATAACATTAAAAAACTCCTCCTCGTTTCTCCATCCCCCATCCCATTTCTCAGATTTAACCAGCACTAACTTATTAGATCTAGGTCTTCTAGGCTTTTAATTCCTCCTACAGGCAAACCTGTAGAGATGTATACCCACAAACACATATACAGAAAGTGCGGTGACTTTTAAATAGCTTTTTCACAAATAAACCTTGATTACCCTCCACAGTTGGCTTTTGGCTCCACCTGCCCTGCCCTTAACTGTATCTATCTGGGTCTCCAGCACCACTGTTTTTTCCAGATTTCAGTCCTACCCATCTTGGAACATCCTCCCTCTCACAAGCCTCTCCTAAGACTCCTTGCCTCCACTAAATTTAACTCTTGACTCCTTTCATCTGGTTCCAGTCCATGTGCTCCCTGGACCAGGTGAGCTGTCCTGGGGTAGAGGCAGGTCAGCTCCAGGCAGCATTTGCCTGTGTTCTGGGAATCCACCCTCACTGCTCTAGCCAGCAGGTGTTCTGTGCCCAGAGCTCTGGTGAGTGTCATCCCTGTCCTAGGAGTGGATAAACTTTTCTTTAGAGGGCCAAATATTAAATATCGTTGGCTTGTGGTCTCTGTGAGAAAACACTCCACTCTGCCTGTTGTAGCTCAAAAGGTACCATAGACAAATGGTGAATGATGAGCATGGGTTTGCCCCACACAAACTTTATCCACAACAGCCTCTGGCCAGGCCATACTTTACTAGCTCCTGCCCTTGGATCAAAAGAATTTATATTTGTGAGAATTACAAAGTTGTGTATGTGGGGAGAAGTTGCAAGAGTATTTTCTTGCTTTTGTCTTGACTCCCTCATGAGACCACATATCCTAAAGGGCAGAGCCCAGATGTTATACTCCTTTAGAAATTCCCTAGAGTATCTTATCCCATTTTCACTGATTCAGAAGCCATCAAAACTCACCATGAGTTGAGGAAGTTCAAATGGATCGTGTAAGAAGTTAAAAAACGATAACTGCTGGTTGTTTT